TATCTCTCCCATGCCTTGTATAATGACTCGATATCAAACTACATAAAAGTAGTAATATTGTTACGTATCTCGACAATTTTAGAAGGAAAAAAGCACTTACCAAGAAATATGTTTGTCATCTCATCCTAAGTGGTAAATGAATCCAAAGGTAAAGAGCAAAACCAATTCTTTGCTCTATTCCTCAAAGTGAAAGAGAAAAGTCCCAATCTTTTTACATCTTTTAAAACCCCATCATACTTGAAAGTGTTATATATTTCTAAAAATTTAGTAAGATGTTCATTTGGATCATCATTTAACAATCCACCAAATTGAACTGATTGTTGAATTATCTGAATATAAGTTGGCTTGATTTCAAAGTTGTTAGCTTGTATTCTTAATTTCCTTATACATGAAGCCACACCATCCATTGAAGGTGATCCATACTCTCTTAAGGTTTTTTCTACAACATTTTTTACCATGTTGTGGGTTTGATTGGCAACTAAAGCTTCCTTCTTTTTGTTCAAAAGGTAGAAAGCTTGGTTTATCTCAAGATCAAATGGTACAAGTTTTGTGTTCGCAGAACAAGTCATGCATTAACTTGCATAGCTATGAAACAAATAAAAAAAATCAAATTAAAATTAGAATTAGTTGTCCTTGATATTAATTAAAATTAGTATAGTCCCTGGTCACAATGCCAAAAACTTGAAGAGCTAATTTTACTCTAATAAGATATTAGTCAATTCAAATAATATAATAATAAAAATTAAATATCGTCTCACAAAGACTATTGACTAATTAGTACCAAAATTAATTAATTCTAATTTTATTTAAACAATCAAAATTATATGATTTGAATGAATGAATTAACTAAACTAATTAAAGAAAAACTAAATTAACTCTAAGTGACACCAAGAATTGAAATTCTAGGGCATTTGATTTCACCATAGTCAATTAATATAAAATTTAGATTAATATACTTCCAAAATTTTTATTACTCATATGATAGTAGGATTTTCTATCATATTTAATATACTTTCTTAAATTATACTAAATATATCTTCACCTATTAACCCACTATATCTCCATGTGAATTTAAATAAATAAAGATACATTATATTTTGTCAAATTCCCTAATTTAGGTAGAAAATCAAGTCAACTTATCGTTAGTGTTACATGAATCATGTTGGTCCATATTTAGTTTTTGTTTAATTCATGGTATATATTACTAGAAGGCATTACATAAATTTTTCTATCAATCTTAATTATGCTCTTCAAATCAATTTTAATGGTGGTTAATTATTAAAAAGTATTAAAAATTATAGTACATACTTTGCACAAAACAATAAATTTTAAAAGTATAGAAATTATGAAATTCTATATCAAATTAATCAAGTTACATCATAACTTTAAATACCTAAATTAGTTCATAATTAAAGAAAAGAAAATAAAAAATCCTATAATGAATATAAGAGTATTTAGCATTATAAAACAAAATTAAAAAACAAGTAAAACTAGTTTTACAATCTAAAATTTCTAACCTTGATCTTCTTATAATGTTGAGTTACTTTTAATGATCTCTCTTAGTCTCTTCCTAAAAGCTCTAAATCTAGTTTTTAAATGGATATTTATAGAGTCTAAAAAACTTTATAAAAAAAAAATAGGACTTAAGACAAAAAAAATTATTATTATTATTGCTGGACGTGCTTTAGTGCCGACACCAGCATCTAGGTGATGACACTTCCATTTATTTCACGCGAATTTGTTTTTTTCAAAGGCTTAACATAGAGTCCTGACTCCGTGAAGTGTCGTGTGGACGCAAAACCCATATCGGGTTTCTAGCACTTTTGCAATTTCTTTAATAATAAAATAGCAAATTTGATCCTTCAACTTTTATATTATGACTGCTTTGATCCTGTAACTTAAGATTCATTCTTTTATGTCCCAAAAATGAACCTTTCTTCTTTCAATTCAGTTCCTCAATTTTTAAAAAATATTTAGTTATTCTCAAAACTCCTATTATTATGTATTTAAGTCCTTTTATGCACAAAAAATGAAAACTATGTAAATTTTTTTTAAAATCACATATATATCCTCCATAGAAATAGTAATAAAACGAAGACTAAATAATAGATTAAAGCATAAAAAATGCTTCTTTATCAATTTCCTCATTTTTATTACTGTATAATAAATCTTTTACGTCAACAGGCTACATCATTTATCATTTATGTAAAATCCAAAAATGCCTTTTGTGTTGAATTTGCATTTTCTTTTGAGATAACCCAAAATTTGCATGCTATTCAGATGTAGTTAGGTAGCAACCTCGCTGGATTTAAACTAAATTTTTCAAAAAGTAGCATCCTATTCCAAATCCAACTTGACTCGGGTTGGGTGGGTGCCTTCGAAAAAAAACATCAACATCCAACTTTTACAAGCTGAAATTGAGAGGGAGGCGTGGTGTGGATGATATTTTTATTCCTGGGCTTTCTGTTAAAAGACTGAAGACGAGCAAGAAAAGTCCTCTAGCTCCAACACAAGCCGGGCCTAAGAGAAGCTAGTTGGATGATGGAATAATCAACAATGGATTATATAGAGTGAACCCAAGCCTAGCTTTAACTATTGGGTATTAGCTTGCGTAATAGTCACTACTGCAGGAATGGGATATTCGGACCGAAATATCGGTCCGGATATATTACCAATCGGTCTGGATAGATATATACGGACCAATATTGGTCCTTATAGTTGATCTGAAAAAACCTGGTACGAATAAGTATAATATACAGACCGACGTATAATCGGTTCGTATATATATACTATCCAGACCGAAATCGGTTCGTATATTTCAGTAAGAAATATAAATAATTATTGAGAAATTGAAAAATAAGCGGACCGAAATTGGTCCAAAAAAATAATATAATAAAATAATAAAATATATACGAACCGACAA